GACTGAATTAAGGAAATTTCGAAATGTTTTAAACGCTGTAACGTTGTAAGCACTATCGTCACCTTGGATCGATTAGGGTGCTGGAAAGTCTTATGATTGAGTTTGCCACTATGCAAAGAAAAGTCTATTTAGACGAAATGCCATCCTTGAAAATCACATCTGTCAATTTCCTGATACCGGAGCAGTAGGGCTGAGGGATAGCAAGTTCCCACTTGACGCGTAGGATCCGATTCCGGAATCCTTTCCCAATGTGAGCTTAGCGAGGTCGAGACTTCTGTCTTGTACAGAGAATGTCTTTTAAAGAGGCAGGCCAAATAGGATTTTATCACATCGTTTAATCCTTTAGTCATCTGCTTGTGGGTACCTGATCATCAGCCCTTTTATCACCTAAAGCGACTTTAGATTTACTGGTGGTTTCAAAACATACCCACTGTTGGAACATCTGAAGCTACCTAGGCTAACCAAATTCTTTTTCAAGAGCTACTGATAGTCATGAAAACAACTTACTTCAAGAATAATTAACGTCGTCGATTACAATGGCAAGCACATCTCATATATCGAATTTAGTGGCAATCTCGAAAACCTTCTTACAAATGAAGAATAAGCAATGTAGTCTATTGGTATGCACAAACAACTTTGCTTCATCGACAATCCCATTACAGAATGTGATATGGGAAAATGCCTGGTCTTCCTTGTAATCTCATCTATCATGTGATCCAAGGGCTTTCGTGGCAATGTGGCATATAAGTTAACGTGTTGAGACTATACTCCGCATTGTCATGGTTCTAGTCCTGCTGAGTGTCCTGATGAGACCTAGGCGAGGTCGAAACTGCAGCCTATCCTGGATGATAATACATTTTTTAGAAGCAAGGCTGAGAGAAATTCAATAAAAGCGTAAAGTCATTGTGGGAAAATTCAACTACCAGTCCTTCATCACCTCAAACGAAATAGAGTGAACACATCTCATAAACACATATTTGTCTAATCGACAATCTTGCTATTAATGTGATTTAGGGGATGTTTGGTTTGCCCTGCTACTCATTGGCACCTATGACGATGTAGTGGAATCATAATTACTCCAGAACTTTCATGAACTGGTATCGAATCCCGTTGCTACTAGGACCTAAGCGAGGTCGAAAATACAGTCCACTCTGAATGAGACAACCTTCTGTAAGATAAGGTTAAGTG